ATTTTTTTCTCCTTTGGTGTTGCTTTTCTTCTTAATTGAATTTCGGTGTATGACTTAAACGAAAATGACAATAATGTCATCGCAAGATTTCTTTGCAGTTAATAATTAGCTTCAGTATGGAAAGTTTCTCTATATACAAATTGACAATGGTATGTTTATAATTAAATATAAACAGTTTGTATATGTTTATTACGTTTGAAACGTAAGACATAAATTCAGGGAAAGGGGTTTAGCCTTCGCTTGAAACGTAAGAAAAACTCCTTTCCATAGGTTTAGTATTTTATTTATTTATGTGTGTTGCTTTTCTTCGCAATTGAGTTTCGGTGTATGACTTAAACGAAAATGACAATAATGTCATCGCAAGATTTCTTTGCAGTTAATAATTAGCTTTAGTACGGAAAGTTTCTCTATATACAAAACGACAATGGTATATTTAGAATTAAATATAAACAGTTTCTACATGTTTATTACGTTTGAAACGTAAGACATAAATTCAGGGAAAAGGGTGTAGCCTTCACTTGAAACGCAAGAAAACTCCTTTCCGATGATTTAATATCTTATTTATTTATGTGTGTAATTTTACGCGAGTTACGAATAACTTTCTTTATGACTTTACTCCTGCAATTCAACGCGTGGGTTTTATTGTCTTTTGCAGATTGTGCAAGTGGGCCACGTTTTGTTTTCTTATTTCATATTAGAAATCACGTAATTCTGTAAAACTCCCTGAATATTACGTGAATTTTTTTTTTTTTATATATATACATTGTTGTTGACTAGTATTTTTCCGTGATTTCTACTAAACGGGCATTTTTGTGCATTGCGAGAAAATTGTTCCGAAATCAGGGGCAAGTGTAATTCTTCGTTTACACTGTACACAACTGGTTATTAAACGTTCCCATCAGATGTTGCACCATAACGAGTTTAACTCGGCCACTTGTACGGTGTTCCTATGTACGCAAACGAACGTACCATTAAACCCGAAAGGGGATATTGCCGCGTTGAAAATGGGCCGAAAGATTTATGGTTTTTTCCTAACGTAAGTTCCTATTATTAGTATTAGTTTCTAAAGTAAGTATCCTATTATTAGAGCTACTAGAGCCTCCAGGCTTTGAATCTCACAACCTAGATGTCGAACAAAAAAATAATAAGAGAGAAGGAACGCGCTTCTGTAGGAATGTTGATAAAAAATGTAAAAGAAAGGAAAACGCGAATTAGTAACCATAGTAACCATAGTAACCATCGATTGTAGGGACGTAAGTAACTATACCATGAGTTACAAGAATTCCAGTCATCGGCTTTTCAGACTTAGCGTTTATATGGACAAAAATATATGTAAATTATGATATTGTGTATAAAATTATCGGTCGGCTTTACTAGTGATTTTTTTTATTTATGGGACCAGTAAGAAACTCTAATATCTCAAATATTTCGGAGCACATGTTAAAAAGAGATTTGATATTAGGAATATGATCCGTAGATGGAATATTAAAAAAGGGTGACCGAATTTTAGTGATTGACAGGTCTCGAAACCTCATGGGGACATGGGTCGATCGATTAGTTCGATATACAGACGATATGTGGACAATCCTCGATCTAGTTTTCCGATAATACGGTTGTCCTGGGATGCGCACATAGAGGAGGCACCTCATGATAATTCGAGCATAACGCCGGAAGTGAACCAATTTAACGTGTCATTACACGAAACAACCGAGACCGCCACAAAACGGAGCAATCGAGAATAATCGAATGACTTTGATCGACCATTCTCGAGTAGTTCCTACATTTCTTCCTTGAAAGTAGAAGTATGAGGCAGATATGAAGGGTAATATTGCCCTGATTGGGTATCAATAAGATCCGGAAGAAAGTACATATTCTTGGCAGTGCAAAGTACGATACGTAAAATTATTGAAATCATGGTAAAAAAATATATAACACAATGACGTTGAAACAAGTTATACCCTCCCCTAGACTAATATAGTTGCTGAATATTAATTTAACATTTTACGCATAACCCACTACGTAATTTCTACGTGAACTAATAACATTGCTGAATTATTTGTCAAGCAGAAATAGAGAATAGAAATAGGTAATATTCCTTCCATGGAGTGCTAGAAAATGTTAAGTTGCATGTTAATTACGTTGGATTTTTAACGTATGTACATGTTATCTGGCGCAAATGTATTTGGCTCAGAGCTCTATCTTGATTGTTGATACAACAAAGTTAAAATAAAATAACCGTTTACAAAGACTGAAGAGCCGTTTTGCACAATCAATCAAACGACACATAAAGAAACTTGGTGCACTCAGAATGCGTTAATACGACTGCTCGGTGATTTATTCATTTCAATGAGTTTCCACGTGTAAGTACCATTCTATACACGTGGTCACATAAATTGAAGTGCGCTCTCGGTAAGGGTCATGCCCCTTTGCATTGACTCTGAAATGTTATATCCTTATTGTTAGATAGGGCAACAAAGTATCTAAAAATTCATCAAATGAATACAAATTCGTATGAATTTGTTGAAAGAAAATAGCCTGGCATTTCCATCAGGGACACAAATATATAACATTCTGTATAAATTGCAGTGGACTTTTAGCCTGCAAATTATACAGTAAAGTGGCAATTAAGTGACGCTTTGAAACACTTTACGAGCTGTTTAACGCGATCAATCAAATGACACAGAGATGCTTGACCGTTCGGCGCACTTGGAATTCGTTAATACGACTGCTCGACGATTTATACATTGCAATGAGTTTGCACGTGTAAGTACTACTCTGTACACGTAGGCACATAAATTGAAGCACGCTCTCGGTAGGAACCACACCTCTCGGTACTCCGGTGATCTGTCAAAGTCACGTGGTCGATCCTGGTTTGCGTTGAAACGTTTCCACAATCCTATTTTCTCGTGTCAAACGTGTAACCGAGTGTTTATTTCGACGGGAAGTCTGTTTCACATCCGTGCCACGAGCTTCCGTTCTGTTTCCTTAATGGCCCGAGAGATTGGTAGTCGAAAGAAGAGAGGGAAAAAAAAAGAACGAGAGAAAGTGTGGGGTAAAATAAGAAAAGAAGTGAAATATTAAACTCGACTCGACAGAAAGCGATTAGGTTTAATCTGAGACGATGTCGTCGAGTTTAAACATCATCTCTCTCGTTTCAATCATTGATACATGGTTTTTCTCTTTCCCCGTTTAATCATATCATTTTAATTAAATATGTTTGGAATTTAAATGAACACCGTTGGCGGTGTATTGTGGATAATTTATTCGTGTGAATTCTTTTCATTGCTACATTTACTATTGTGATTAATTTCTTAATAGGTCATGCACTTGCCGTCTAATGGAATAAGTCATTTGTTCTTAATTTCGTGCCAATCACTCTGAGTCGGATGAAACGCTTCGATTGAATGTTTTGATCGGAACCGAGAGAAACGGCGGAAATCCATTTCTTTGTCCGGAAATTTGAAAATTAAAAAAAAGAGGCTTATCAAAATTTGCGCGCCGCGGAACGAAAGGAACAAAAAACTGCTGCTGGTGCAGTGTATCGAAAAATATTTCTCTTGTATTAAATCGGAATAGTAATTTTTCACTCGAAACAACTCGTTGCGAATATACGATGTATGCTGTATTGCGTGTATCGTACCTGGATACTATTATTTCTCACTACGCATTGCACATTATCTATTAAAGAAAAATGTTAGACGAGTTCTTGGGGGCATTTTTCTCAGACATAGATGTAACAAATAATGTTTTGCTCGTCATAGCAATTGCTGGAATTTATTATATTTCTAAATGGTCGAGTTCCCCTGAGGTGTAAATGGCGGACGTTTCCAGGCCGCAAAATCGAACTTATCGATTTTAGTGGTCGCGATTCGACAGGACCGCCCGCGAATTCCCAAAATGTCGGTTAAGCTGGGTCAGTTCTGGGCGGTTTCGAATTTGACAGTAAATTGCCAATTCGCCGGGCTTATCGCGAATTGCACTGACAAAAGTCCGCCAAATCGAGGTGCTTCAATGACAAAGACTCGGTTGGAACTATTTCCCATAGTCACGGGACGTTCGCAATTGGCGGCCTTGTTTTGAAAAATCTATCCATTGAATATCATAAATATTGAACGCAAAACTGTCCCGATCAAGATGCGTCAGTTTATGGCGATGGCACAGAGAGTTGGTTTAAAGTGCTGGGATTTTGATGTCTCATAAAAATGTCGATGACATTTTTGATTCAGGATACAGCTGTATATTAGGAATATCGATTGGCCAAAGTCGTATACAAAATACGATTAACTATTTTCAATTGCCTTGGAAAGGAAATATGAGATACAAGTCGGAAATGTGTCGCCATAGTTTGGGTGTCACGTGCCGTGTCAAGTGATATCCGAGTGCACCGTTTACGAGTTTTCGAAAATTGGAGCACACCCTGTCGATCCCTCCGAAGGCATATCTCTACATTTTTGAAAAGCTTCCCGGGCGCGTTACCAATTTGTAAAAAACCAGAACATTTGTCGGTAGGTTGAACGATTTGTGACCCAGAATGTCGATTTTAATGCTGGGCAGTCCGATTAGACGTACACAAAAAAAAAATCATCCTTTCTGATAAAAAAAAGTTTCTAACTTTTTTCGGTAAAAAGTTACAGCGTTTCTCTTTCATTCTTCCCATAAAATCAACTTTCCCCCCGACTAAGTCCCCCCTACATCTCACGCAATCCGACAATATCCCTCGACCTACAAAAAAATTAATAAATATCTGTAAAACATCCCCCCAATTATAATCTCTGAATATGTGCCGTGCAATCCGTGCCTTCATTTTTTTTTACCGCGCAATTTTCTCTTCGACACGCTCGCCATTGATCGCCCATCGATACGTAAATTGTTCACAGAAAATTTTCGACGTAGAGTAGAAAAGTAAAATTAAAACTGTCCCTTCTTCCCCGAAGGCTCGGCGCATGCGCGCGAGTCAACTCGTTCGGTGGAGGTGTCGATACATCGAAGGGGCAACTCACCAGGCAAAACGGAGGGAAGTCGAAACGTCGGGAAATCCAAAAATTTAGAACTTAACACTAGAATTACCAAGACCAGACAAAATGATTGGTTTCAAATGGCCCATCCTATACAAAAAAAAAATCCGCCGGTAGTTCTAGTGTTAAGCGAATAATCGGATGGACCGGAAACGAATAAATCTCGAGGTCGAGAAAGTCTCGAAAATCGAAAAGTAGCGTGGCGAGATCGATCCTCGCACTCTCGAAACTGACGGGGAACTGCTTATCCGCAATGGCCAGCGTATACTAAGTGGAGTTACATTTTTACTGCACAATATCCTCTTCGATACGCTTATCAATATCGATACGTAAATTGTTCACAGAAAGTTTCGACGTAGAGTAGAAAAGCAAAATGAAAACTATCCTATCTTCCCCTAAGGCTCGGCGCATGCGCGCCAGTTAACTCGTTGGGTGAAGGTGTCGATATCTCGAAGGGGCAACTCACCAGGAAAAACGGAGGGAAGCCCAAACGTCGGGAAATCCAAAAATTCGGAACTTAAGCGAATGATCGGATGAGCCGGAAACGGATAAAACTCGGGGCCGAGAAAGTCTCGAAAGTCGAAAAGTAGCGTGGCGAGATCGATCCTCGCACTCTCGAAACTGACGGGGAACTGCCTATCCGCTGTGGCCGGCGTATACTTAGCGGAGTTAAGTCAAGAGGGACCTCTCCTACCAGCGCCTTTTGCTTCACTTGCACTCTCGACGGAGATATACCTCGCGGTGTGCGTTACTCCGCTCCGTGTACGCACGCGTGCACGTGTACACTGGTGTAAATTCGTGTATACCTGTACGCACGCGCATGCACACTCGTGTAGACTCGTGTATACCTGTGCGCACAAAGGTAGCCAGAGCACCTTGTGGACGCGCACGCGATAACACACGCTAGAGGATCGCGGACACGCACGCGATAACACACGCTGAAGGATCTCGGACACGCTTGTGGACCCGCGTGTCTCTTTTTAAGGCCTAGGCTCGAGTGAACGTCTTTTGATCTCGATTGGGACACGCGTGACCGAGGAACTCCACCCGCGGATGACGTTGTCGAAGTTGCGGAGATTCTGTCGTCCGGAATACTCCTTTTCATTGTTGGATTAATGGAATACTCGCATTGACAACCCTAGAAATGGGTACTAGACATGGGAAATGGGTAAGGGTGAATACCGATAAGAACATTATATACCAAGCAAGTGATGATGTATTTTAAATTTAGAACAAGCTTTACTCAACACATTGTTCTTCAAACTAGGAATTTTTATAGTAGGAATCTTCTTATGACAGTTCTCTTGACAGTTTGTATGAACATTCAACTACAGTGGTAATTTAGCGACTTGTTCATAAGCTGATCGAGCAACGTTCTCCGAATTCTCATGGGAGAGTAGTGAACTTGATATGTATTTTTTGTATTCATTTGTAATATGATGACGTGAAAAAAAAGAATGACTTAATTTCCATTTAAAGGTTTCAACAAAACGCTACTACCCCAGTAGCACAGAATGATTTTGTAAATATTTCTTTGTAATCTTTGCTAAATATCTCGAGCGACAGATTTTTTAAGATCTCTTGTAGATTTCATTCGAAGATGTGTGAAATATTTCTTGAAAATCTCAATGACATTTAGTTTCAATAATTTATAAACATATNTGAATATTATAGAGATAATATTTTAAAGTAAACGTTTTGCAAATATTTCAAATGTCTGCTAAATTTTTACAAAGTATATGATATCCGTTAAATATATTGAAAATATAGGACAAATATTTTGTGCTACTAGGGTATAGTGGCCTTTTTGATTACCATGTTCTCAAAGCAATAGATGAATATTTCGCGATCGAACTGTCCGTACAGGAGATGCGCTCTGAAAGCTGAATTATCCGTAGGCAGAGGATTGATCGGCCAAAACGATCCGGTATTACTTAATCCATACGAAATCGATGACATATTATATGCGTCATTCAGTACCAGTATCCAAAACTGTCCATGACGCATCATCTGATCATGAACAGGAATTCGATACTTAAAAAAGATTCTGGCTTTCGGTTGCAAGCTTGCGACAAGATCACGGTTTCAAGTGCGTTAATGTACTAAAAGAAAGGTATATATAAAGAGTGTAAATAATTGAAATAATTGCCGAAATCGACGAGTGGCAGATTTTCAGCTATTGCATCCGATACGGTAGTTTAGTTAATTCCTTAAAAAAAATATTGTGCAAGTAATCTCTTGGCACCAGCGTTAGTTGAATAATTCACCCTGATTGCCAAAAAAAAAGTCCTACAAATCAGAGAGTGATATATATTGTTTAAAACATTGTACAGAGTGGGAAAATGTTCTCGTTCTGTCTCAAAACGTGTGAAGGCTTATGTGCGGTCTAAAGGTGAACATTTTCAACATTTGTTGAACATAACTTTCTGGGCCACTTTTGATGTATTGCGTTGATAATTGTTTCGTTTGAATACATTTCAATTGTCATTTTTAATTTTGTACGGGAACTTATTCCTCCCTCTGTAAGGAATTAATTACCGAGTTAAGGGCATAGTCTCATTTCGTTATTTCAAACGTTATGCGTGATTATCGGACGCGCATAACTTGATTTTTTGGCGTTGCAGCATTTTTTTTTATCAGCTTTGTATATCGAAGACTCATCTTTTGATTAGTTCCACCTTAACTTCCTACATCGTCAAGTTATCCATTTCCGTAAGACTGGAAAGCGACGTGATTATTCAACAGCAGAGTACCGACGACGCCGTAATAATGTTTGATAATCGATCATAGACCATCGATCATCATCATCATAGAGATCATCGATGATGCAGGATGAAAGTACCGAATGGAAATTCAATGGTGATTCGATTGCAAGTGCAGATAACCATTTGCTCTCAGTAGTGCAATGTAGTTTGTAGGTTAACAGCATTTTTTCTCGATCAATTCCGTTTCTACCAGGCAGTAACACAGGAATGAGATAATGTCGCTTTTATTACCGAACTCCAGAGAAAAGTGTCGGGCAGAATTTTTCCACCATTTTCGGCATTCCCGTTCCTTCTGATTGTTTGAATTGACGTAATTAATAATGCATTTCTAAGCAAATTACATTTATGATGTACGGTTTTAAGTAAACCTTGGAACGACGTTCAAGATCAATGGACGTTGTAAAGTCCTTTCCTGGCATATATAAAATGGTTTATTAATTACGGGTATTGTTCATGCGATCTAAAGTAACAAAGTGGGTCCGATTGTCTGGTTGGACGTTTTGGAATGTTATTAATAAATAGGTTACGATCGCATGTTTATACAATGCTCGCCGTAGAAATCTTTTCAGTCGCTGCGAGATACTGGAAATCTTGTTAACAGAGGGACTGTAACAATATTGGCCCTCGGGATTTATACTAATGAACTAAAGTTTATTAAAGACATCCTCGCGGACGGTAGATTCGTTATACAATTCTGCATTCTTCCGGTAATGAATATTCTCCAATTAACTATCCGCCGTTCAAGATTTGCAGTCTCCATTTTGCGGGTCCGGTAAATTGCACCCGGTGGATTAATAAATCCCACTGTGAACCTTGCACCGTGACAGTGTTATTGCAGCCGTGCATACTTTTATTTATTTATCGATAAAAACGGAAAGGCAAACTCAATGAACCCTTGGTACTCGCTCGGCACGTAAATTAAATATTCACGTACATTAAAAATTCACGCTCTAATATCTTAATCGTTATATCTCAGTCAAGTCAAAAAAGGCGATCGCTGAATCGACAGTTAATTCTCAATTAATTATTCATTAACTCTACATAAGCCCACTACAAGTAATAACAGAGTAAAAGATCTTCCATGAACATTAAATCTTCACGTTACTTTTTCGTTTATATTATCAGTGCAGTAAAATGAGCTGCCTTATTGCATTTCATATTTTTTATAATTAATGTCTATTGGGACCCTTTTAGGTAGAGGGGCGACTGTTTGATGAGTACTCGCCTTTACGAATTTATTACCTCTAATTAGAGTGCCAAAGATATATGTCGGGAGTAATACGTGCGCTCGATCGACGACAGATTTTATCGACGCGATATCAAGGAGTATCGACTAACTCCCACACGTATCTGGGCGTGATTGCACATTGCACTTCTCGATTTTCCCGCCCACGCCGTACGCATTCTTCTCCTTCTCTTTTCTGCTATTACGAGGGCACTACTCTCGATTCTCGCGACAATCGATTCTACGCACGCGCGAATTGCGTGTTCGATACGTGTCCCCGAGTAATTCGATAAATCGACGGCTTATCCGACAAAATAATGATCGATTCCCCGTCCGCTTGTCTTCGTAGAAAACAATCACGGAAATCGATAGATCTCAGCGGACTTATATTGCATTTCCGTAATAAATGTGATAAATCCAATTTTCTGTCATTAACAGTCATTATTGGGAGAGAGAAAAAAGTGGGAATTATTTTTCTTAAGCTTTCCATAATAAATGTTATTTTCTCTTCCGGAACGATTCAATCAATTCTTTATACCTTACCGTGGTTCCAGTCAATCGCTCTTCAGTAATAACTGAGAAATAATAAGCCGGTCTTCCGATCCTCTGTCCTTTTATTCCTTTGCATAGGATAAACGGTATTCCTTAGCCGATTCCATTTTCTTTATGTTCTTAACCCTATGAACACGGAGCCATTTCGACGTATGGGCGAAACTCGTCTGACCGTGCAGGCAATATTCGACCAAACGTTGGGAATACTGAGCTCGGTATACTTATGTCAATAATTTGTTTTGGGTCTTAGAGCCGTATAAATGGACCCAAATTAAGTCCGTTTCACGGTAGAGGATTTTGTCTGGAAAGTCTCGGGGCCTGAAACTGGAGTATCCTTTCGTAAAAGTTTGTCCGTAAAAGCCAATAAACCCGCGTATAGAGAGTACCGGACAGAGTAAACGACTCGTCGACCGAATTCCGGATAGACAGGGGAACGGGACTGTTTTGCATGTCGAACGCGAAACGACAGTGAACTCCTCGCATTAATATTAATGCCATTCAGCGAACGCGAATGTAAGCTCGCCTGGTGGAGGAGATCGACCTTCCGGGACATAATATTGCCATGGACCATGCCAACAATACACAGTAACCTCATATCGCTTCTAACGAACCCATGACCGGATTTGGAAACAAAGTTCCTTTCCTTGTCTCATTTTTCTCATCTAACTCGCT